TCTCTTATGCTGCGTAGAGGGGAAAGGACATTTAAAACCATTTTTTAAAACAGTAAATGTTAATGGATATAACTCAATGGCAGCTCTGTACGTCATATAAGCTGTTAGCTGTTCCTTAATTGGCTATGAAATGTTCAATCATCTATGAGGAAACAATCTCAGAAGAGCAAGAATCCTGCAGAGACATTAGCTTCAGTTAAGACTAACCTTTTTATTTGTGGCTACTAGAATGACCGACAGTTCAATTTGTTTACTCAAGCGTCAAATTTGTGTGACATGTTCTCTCGTAAGCCAATCAGCAGTGAGGATCTCAGCCTGCCATCACTGACGTTGAATCAGAAAACCAAAACAGCAGCCGTTATCTGTTAGCCCTCAGAGCACACAGCTCCTCATACCTGTTCAGAAACTGGAGAAAAGTTATACATGAACAAACCACAGACTGTCTGTGGCATGGCGAATACAGTCGCTGCTTTATTGATGTCTGTGTGGCGTTGTTGTGAGTTTGGACGGCTACAACAAGTTAACACACTACAGCTACAACGTTAGCTTAGCCTGATCGATCCAATCTCCATTCAGAAAAACAAGCATTTTAAAAGTGTTTCCTCTGCCGTCTTGTCTGCACACTAATTTTGGCATCATTTTGAAGCGTGTATTACAATTAAATCACGGTAAAATGTCTTCATTTTGATGTAGTTGGTATCTACCATAGTATTTTCATGGATATAAGCCCCGCCCCCTCACCAGTGCATCTTGTTTGAATGATGCGACTAAACACAGCTGACAGCCGCGGTGAAACTTGAGCGATTAGAGCGATGCGGTTAGAGCGATGCTAATGGTGTGAACGGATCATTAGTGTCCGTCAGTATATCTGAAATGACTAGGTTAGATACGTTAGCTAGCTAGATGACAGCAAGGAGTCATGTGATCACATTGTTAAAATAAGCCAATAAATCATTTTAGGTACATTTCCAACAACAGTGACAGTTGGCTGACTAAAAAATAAACATCAATAAATCAGAAGAAAGAAAAACAAAAATAATACATTTGTTTTAATGTAGTCATTATTATTACTATTATTGTTATTGTTGTATTTTAAGCTTTTTCTTCTTTTTTTATCGTTTATTTGAACAGGGACAATGCACATTGATGAACACTTTAAACAAATAATGCTTCAAATGTAAATATGCCGGATTTTAGCTTTGAGCTCATTTCCATCCGTAGTCCGTCACATACAACATTTAATATGACATTTATAAACATATTAAAAAAAAATACATGATATGCAGAAAGAGCAAGAGCAGCATATACAAGCATTTAAGACATGGCAGTAAAATATAGCAGCTATGACATATAAAGTGCAAGAGAAGATAAAAGAGCTACATCATTTGTAAGAGGTGATACCCCTGTGTTAAAGTGCATTTAGTGGTGATTGCACGTCTGTTTGTTTCTCAACCATTCTTTTAGTTGACCTTTAAAACTATTGAGTGTGGGACAATCCGTATCTCAGTTGTTGTATTTTGATCAATGAATTAGTTACTAAGTGAGTAGTCTCACCTATGGTGATGTCACTTCTTGTTTCAGGTGTCCCGCTGCTCAGTGAACTTCTCCAACATCAGCTGGAGCTCCGGTGCTGTGTCAGTATCCTTCAGCACACCTGGACCCTCCTGTAGCTTCAGCCTGATCACCGGGGAGCCCACCCGACCCACTCCCTGCAACCCAGACCAGGGGGGCTTCACCTGCCGGGTCACAGGTCTGAGTCCCGGGACCCGGTACCAGGTAATGGTGATCTCAGAGCAGGACGGAGAGAGTGGCAGCACGACGGTGCGCACAGGTAACATAACATTATTTATAATATTATTATAAATAATATACCTGTCTTATCAGTTTAAAAATGCTTATGAACTTCATATCAGTTCACATACACAGCCATTATTGCCCTGTATTTCGATATAGATATATTATGATATTCTATATTTGATCTAATGTCCCCCTGCAGCGCCTCTTCCTGTGCAGAAGCTGATGGTCCGTCATGCTGATGAAACCACGCTCAGCGTCCTGTGGAGCCCCCCCCCCGGGGAGTGGGACGGCTTCACGGTCTTCCTCCGACAGGCTGACCCCCATCGGATGGACCCCGCCCTCCAACAGGCTGACCCCCATCAGATGGACCCTTCCCTCCCTCAGGTGGCCCCCGCCCTCCCTCAGGAGGCCCCCACTCTCCCTCAGGTGGCCCCCGCCCCAATGGAGGTGTGGAGGGCCCTCCCCCGGGAGGCCAAAGAATTTACCTTTACCACCCTGACCTCAGGAGAGCAGTACACCATCACCGTGATGACCAACAGCGGCAACCTGAGCAGCTCAGCCTCCGTCAGAGCATACACCCGTACGTAGCTCACACTCTGATATATTGTTAGCACTCTGATAGCATGGTGCAGTCAGCTGACCCCTGCTGTGTGTCCTCAGGTCCAGCCCAGGTCTCTGGGCTGCTGCTGGGGGTTCAGAGCAGCACCGACAGCCTGCAGGCAAGCTGGCAGAGAGCCTCCGGAGTTCTGGACTCGTACCGCGTTCTGCTGGTCAGCGACAGCAGCGTCATCAAGAATGAGAGCGTGGCGGCGGACGCCACCAGCACCAGCTTCCACCTCCTGAGGCCCGGCGCCCTCTACAGGGCGGTGCTGACCACCGTCAGGGCCGGACTCAGCTCCAGGCAGACGGTCGCAGAGGGACACACCAGTGAGCATAATCTCAGTCCAAAGTGTGCCAAGATTTTGGAGTTATTATATTTAGTTTTTTTAAGTTAGACCATCTGGTATCGAACATTTTACTGCGTTCCCTCAGTAACGGAAACTGAATGAAATATAATATGAGCACAGGAGGGAGAATAATTGTTCATGTTTGTTGCACTGGGATCAAATACTTATTTCACACAGTTAAATGCAGATACATGTTATCGTTTATATAATGTGAATTTCTTACTCTCACTGTTAAAATAAACCTACCATTATAATTATAGATTGTTAATTTCTTTGTAAGTGGGCAAACATACCAAATCTGGAAGGGATCAAATA